AAGAGAGTACTCTGTACTGTGAAGAATCCTCACCTGCCATACTTACTGTCTGAGCTGGAAGTCTGCAGCAACGCTGATAAAGTAATCTTTTAATCCACTGCTTTATTATCGTGCACAACGAGAGTACCTGTACTGTGAAGAATCCTTACCGCCATACTTACTGTCTGAGTCTGGAAGTCTGCAGCACCGCTGGGGAAAAGTAAGCTTTTAATCCACTGCTTTATTATCGTGCACCAACGAGAGTACTCTGTACTGTGAAGAATCCTTACCGCCATACTTACTGTCTGAGTCTGGAAGTCTGCAGCACCGCTGGGGGAAAAGTAAGCTTTTAATCCACTGCTTTATTATCGTGCACCAACGAGAGTACTCTGTACTGTGAAGAATCCTTACCCGCCATACTTACTGTCTGAGTCTGGAAGTCTGCAGCACCGCTGGGGGAAAAGTAAGCTTTTAATCCACTGCTTTATTATCGTGCACCAACGAGAGTACTCTGTACTGTGAAGAATCCTTACCTGCCATACTTACTGTCTGAGTCTGGAAGTCTGCAGCACCGCTGGGGGAAAAGTAAGCTTTTAATCCACTGCTTTATTATCGTGCACCAACGAGAGTACTCTGTACTGTGAAGAATCCTTACCCGCCATACTTACTGTCTGAGTCTGGAAGTCTGCAGCACCGCTGGGGAAGAGTAAGCTTCTAATCCACTGCTTCATTACTGTGCACCAACGAGAGTACTTTGTACCGTGAAGAATCCTTACCTGACATACTTACTCTTGGGTCTGGAAGTCTGCAGCACCGCTGGGGAGAAGTAAGCTTCAGCTTCAACCCCCTGCTCCATCATCGTACATCGACGAGAGTCTCTTGAACTGTGAGAAACCTTTGGCTTAATAAAGATTGTTACTCCTTTGAAATTTATCTCTGTCTCCGGGTCCTCTGTTGTGTGCCTGTGGTGTCGGCTCCTCACGGTGGTGACTCAGTTAGAGGGGGGTGGTTGGTCACCCGAGCGTTCCTCCCCTCGACCTGTGACATCAAAAGTGGCGTAGTCGGCAGGGTACACACCGTGAGTTGTAGCGGCCACAGGTACGCGATGGCGGACGAAGAGGCACCTGCGGCTCGTCCTCAAGTCATGCCGATCTTCATGGGAGCTCCCTGGGCGCAGCGCTATGGAGGACCGGGATCGGAGTTAAGCTTACAGGATTGGAAGGCGCAGACGGAGTATCTGGCTGGACTACAGGGACTGAGTGCAGCACAGAGAGTACAGTTTGTGTTGGGGTCGCTGGAAGGAGAAGCCAAAAGGGAAGTTCTGGCTGCATCGGAAGCCACACGTGCTACCGCAAAAACTATCTTCGATTTCTTGTTCGGATTATATGGAGACTCCACCCAGTGGCCACTCTTCGTGCCCAGTTCTTTAACTATAAACAGGGGCCTACGCAGACACTTCGGGCATACTCCTTGAAGTTGCGGGAGCAGTTTGGCTGGCTGAAGGGGCGACCGGATCATGGACTGGGTGAAGGGGATGACTTGTTACGAGATCAATTCGTCTTGGGGCTGCGTGAAGGGCCAGTACGTCAGGGCATACGACTCCAGCTTCGACGAGACCCCACTATGACCTTTGAGGCTCTGCGACAAGAGGCCTTGGCGTTAGAACTGGACCAGGGAGAGGTAACTCGCACACCAGTCTGTGTGGCAGCAAGTAGTGCCAGTGGACCTGCGCCTGTCGAACCGAGCGATTGGAAGCAGAAACTGAGGGCCGAACTGTTGGAGGATGTCAAGGGACAGATGGCGGAATTATCCCGGAACCTGCTGGGTGAGCTTCGTCGAGGACGAGTTGAAGGCGGAGCAGTGGGGCGAGAGAGGTCGTATTCAGAGGAAGGGCGAGGTCCTCTGCGCCGCCCCTACGTCCTGTGGGCCCCCGGTTCCAGTGGGACGACCAAGGAAGGCCCATTTGTATAAATTGTGGAGATCCTGGACATATCAGTCGCCAGTGTGGGCTTCGTCGGGTTCTCAAGGGGGTTTTTAGTTCCACCGGCCACTGTGGGTCAAGTGGCCGGGACCCTTTGTGTGACCCTCTTTCTGTTCCTGTTGCACGAGATGACTGGGTGGGACATTGCCCTACCATGGAGGTTCAAGCTAATGGAGTCACGATAGACTGTTTGGTTGACACAGGGTCTCAAGTTACGCTATTCTCGGAGAGCCTGGCCCAGGAGTTGTTCGCAGATCATCGGCTCCAAGCAACTGAAGCTTCCAGGCTGACCCTACGGGGGCCAATGGTTTGGACATCCCCTACACAGGGTACATCGTGGTAGACTTTCTTGTCCAGGGGTCCCCGTCCAACAAAAAGGGGTAGTTATTGTCCGAGATCATTGCTTGGGAAATCATCGAGCACTTTTAGGGATGAACGTTATACTGGATTGCTGGGAAGAATTGTTTCGGGGCCCGCCGGCTCGGATGTCTCCGTCACCGGCAAAACAGGACTGGGACCGAATTCTGGCCGATTGTAAAAGAGTGCACGCAGCTAATCACATAGAAGAGAGGGAAGACATCGGTCGAGTTGCCTGTAGGTATGCTCTGTCCATCCCAGCTCAGAGTGAGACCGTTCTTTGGGTCCGAGTACCCGCAAGACCCCGTGGGTCAGGCACCTGTGTCCTGGTAGAGCCTCACGAAGATTGTCAGCCAGTTGAAGTGGCTCACGGACTGGCGGTTGTCCATCGGGGGCGAGTCTCAGTAAAAGTACGGAACACAAATCCTTACCCAGTGCTCCTTCGTCGACATCAACGTCTGGCCCGAGTTTCCTCGGTACGTCCTGCCCAGGTGCACGAGCACCAAGCTGTCTGCTTCAGACAGGTGAGCCCTGCGGTGGTGGAAGTTGCCGTCCGCCCTGTTGAGGTAGAACTGGGTTCGGTTGGAGGAGGGATGCCGGCCCATCTGATGGGAGAGTCCCTGAAGGGTGAGAATCTGGAAGAGGAGCAAGTGGTACAGCTTCAGGAGCTTTTGAGGAAGTGGCAACATGTGTTTTCAAAACATGAAGAGGACTATGGCTGCACAGGGGTGGTGAAGCATCAAATACCCACTGGTGAGGCGACGCCTAGTCGAGAGCGGTACCGTCCGGTGCCCCCACTCTTTATACCGAGGTCCGCACCCTGTTGAAAGGTATGCTGGAGGGAGGAATCATCCGAGAAAGCAGTAGTCCTTGGGCTGCGCCCATCGTTCTGGTGCAGAAGAAGACGGGAGCCTGGAGGTTTTGCGTCGACTATCGCAAACTTAACAGTGTAACGAAGAAAGATGCATTCCCGTTGCCACGGATTGAAGACTCACTCACCAGTCTTACCCAAGCGGCATGGTACTCGACATTGGACCTGGCAAGTGGATACTGGCAGGTGCAGGTGGATGACCGAGATAGGGAGAAGACAGCTTTCACCACCCCGTTTGGGTTATTTGAATGGGACCGTATGCCGTTCGGTCTGTGCAACGCTCCTGCGACTTTCCAACGCCTGATGCAGCGCTGCCTAGGAGGACAATTAGTCGACTCAACGCTGGTCTACCTAGACGATGTGATCGTCTTCTCCCTGATTTCCACACTCACCTGCATCATCTGGAAGGAGTTTTCAGGGCCATGGAGAAATATGGGCTGAAGCTTAGGCCGGAAAAATGCCAGTTACTGCGGAAAGAGGTGCAGTTCTTGGGACATCGTGTCAGTGCTGTAGGGATCTCCCGGACCCAGAGAAGGTGGCGGCGGTCCAAGGATGGGAGCCACCCCGGACAGTAAGACAGGTGCGGTCGTTCCTGGGCTTTGTGGGATATTATCGTCGCTTTATAAAGGGATTCTTTGGGCTTGCTAAGCCACTGAACCAACTCTTGGCTGGCACTGGACGTGCCCGTGGTAAAGGCT